TAAAAAGTCCTGGATTTAAAGAGCCAGTGATTATTTTGTGGGTTTACTGCCTGCTTGACCTGTTTATGGTGCTTCCAAATCAAACCTTAATCTATTTCTTGATCAGATTGCAGTTTTATGATTTGAGAATTGCTCATTTAATCCTCCTCCCGTGTTTCCTCATTATTTATCAGTATTTGTGTGAGGGCCAAACACAATTTCCTCCACACTTTAGTCCCTTTTTATTGTTTTTTTTCCTTCAAAATTTTCTTTAAAAATAGGACAGTCTAGTCAGTCAGTTTTTTTTTTTAATTTTATTTATTTATTTATTTATTTATTTGAATAGGGACAAAGCACATTAATGAACATCAGTATAAAAACAAATGTAAATATGCCGGATTATAGTTACAAAGCTAGTTTTCATCCGTAGTTTAGAGTGTAGAATACAAATTAAGTGGGTTAGTTTCACTAAAGAGAAAACTGTCTGAGGAGTACATGTTGATATATAATTATTTAGTATTTACGTCCACTTTGTCTTTCAAGGCCTCGGGATTCTCCCTAACTTTCCCTCCCTGAATCTGAACAGTCTGAAGGTGTTTTCCAAGCTCAGAAATGCAAATGCCAGACGGCCTCACACCCTTCTGTCATATCTCGCTTCGTCCCATCTTCCAGGAACTCCTCCTGCAAAAATCAGTGGTTGTAAACTTTGAGACGGGAAAGTATCAGACCAGACTGACCCGAGTTAAAATTTAATTTCAGCCTCTCTGTTGCAAAATGCTCTGTGCGGTCGGCCTCTATTGAGGGTTACAGATCTCTGCATCGGTGTGTCTTTTGCCAGGAAACAATGTTTTGTTTTTTTTACTCTTCAGGTTAGCATTAGCTAGCATTATGGAGAGTTTTTTCAGATGAACTTTAGAGGAAAAGACCCTTTTCTTTGCTCTTTTTCGCCTCAGTCCACATGATGAGGCCTCCTCATGTCACGTCTGGGGGAATGTCTGGTGTCTCGTCTTGATTACCTATTGTGTACACCTGGGGCTCCCCTCCCTCGTGTGTTTAAATAGTCCTGTTTCCCCTTGTCTGGCGCGAGTGCGTTTTCGTCTTTTGTCTCTTGTCCGTCACGTCCTTCGTCACCCCCACGCCAGGTTTGCTTTTGTCTTTTGTCACAGTTTTTGCCACAGTCATAGTCACAGTTTTGCCACAGTTTTGTCAATCGTTATTTTGTTACTTTACCCCAGTCTTGTTTGCTCATTGCTTTGTTACTTTGATCACAGTTTTCCCACAGCTTTGCTTTGTACTTTGTCTGGACTCTGGTTTTTTGTTGCAATAAATCTTGTCTCCCCTCATCTCCGCACCTGAGTCCTTCCTTCAAGACCCACCTCCATGACACCTCAAAAGCCAGCATTAATCA